TCCGAGCGGGCCATCGGCCTTTTGTAATTGTTGTCGTTCTTAGGCCCCTGAGGCCTGGATATGGAGGAAGTATCAGGCAGGAGCTTCGTCCGTGAGTGATTCGCGAGGAAGTCTCAGGCTCGAGCCCTCTCCTTATTGGGCTCGCCGCTCATGTTTTGAATCCAAGCGGGTCATCGGCCTCTTGTAATTGTCGTCATTCTTAGACCCCCTGAGGCCTGGATATGGAGGAAGTATCAGGCGGGAGCCTCGTCTGTGGGTGAATTACGAGGAAGTCTCAGGCGGCAGCCCTCTCCTTATTGGGCCCGCCGCTAGTGTTTTGACTCCAAGCGGGTCATCGGCCTCTTGTAACTGTGGTTATTTTGGGCCCTTGAGGGTTGGATATGGGGGAAGTATCAGGCAGGAGCCTCGTCTGTGAGTGATTTGCGAGGAAGTCTCAGGCTCGAGCCCTCTCCTTATCGGGCTCGCCGCTCATGTTTTGAATCCAAGCGGGTCATCGGCCTCTTGTAACTGTTGTCATTCTTAGGCCCCTGAGGCCTGGATATGGAGGAAGTATCAGGCGGGAGCCTCGTCCGTGAGTGAATTGCGAGGAAGTCTCAGGCGGCAGCCCTCTCCTTACTGGGCCCGCCGCTAATGTTTTGAGCCCCCGAGGGTTGGATATGGGGGAAGTGTCGGGCGGGAGCCTCGTCTGTGAGTGAATTACGAGGAAGTCTCAGGCCGGAGCCCCCTCCCTATGGGGCCCGCCGCTCGAGCTGTAAACTCGAGCGGGTTCTCGGGATCATGTAACCGTCGCCATCGTTGGGCCCCTGAGGCTTGAATCTGTCAGGAGGGGAAAAAACACAGACACAATTAATCGGCGATTCCCAGAAAATATTGGAAAATATGGGAAGTGGGGGGGAAGACAGAAACCCAGAAAATATAGGAAAATATGGTGGATATTTTTATTTGTGTGTATTTATTTGTGTGTTCCAGTTCCCCTTCAATCTGGAGGAAGTATCAGGCGGGAGCTCCGTCTGTGAGTGAATTTCGAGGAAGTCTCAGGCGGGAGCCCCGCCTTATCGCACCTGCAGCTCACGTGAGTAATCCGAGCGGGTCGTCCTCAAACCCGTGACTGTCTTCGCGCTTGGCTTCCTCAGGCGTGAATATGGAGGAAGGATCAGGCGGGAGTCTCGTTTGGAAGTGAAAGTCTCAGGCGGGAACACAGTCCCTATGGGGCCCGCACTTCATATTGATAATCCGAGCGGGTCGTCGTAAACCTTGCAATTGTCGGCATTATCGGGCCCTTGAGGTTTGAATGTTAGGGAAGTATGCGGCGGGAGCTTCTTCGGTACGTGATTCGCGCCAGCGGCTTGCGGGGTTGTCCCGGCGGCATGGCCCGCGGGGTTGTCTCCGATGGGTGCGCGATTTCGCCGTCGGAGAACGCGCCCCTGCCAGGAGGAAGGAGAGGTGCAGGAGAAGAACGAGTGGGGCGGCGATGAGGAGGGGGAGAAGGAGGAGGTGGTGGAGGAGGGCAAGGCAAAGGCCGAGGAGGAGGAGGAGGATGAACATGAGAAGGAGAGGGAGGATATGGAGGGGCCGGAGGAGGAGGAGGAGGAGGAGGAGGAGGCGGAAGAGGAAGAGGATGAGGAATGCAGCGAGTAGGACGAGAAGGAAAAGGAGGAGGAAAAGGAGGAGCAGGAGGAGGAGGAGGAGGAGGACAGAGAGGGCGGAAGGAAACCTCCGACAGACGAATCAGAAAAAAAAGCGCAGGGCAATATAAATCGATTATCATGCGGTGTCCTGCCGTCGGAGCACTTATGATCCAGCCTCTCGACATGGTTGTCACACCCCCTACATCGGATATGTCCTGGCCGCTACAACGTGAATCGCAGCGCCACATTGCCCAGACAGGCTTTGATGGACCTCGCTATGGGATGGGATTGTGGCAGTCGTCTTGGGGCTGATTTGGATGCCACGCTGTTCAGAGTGAAGGGACCATCCGTAGGCGCGTGCCTGAAGTGGGCTTCCGCGGTGAGGATTGTCGAAGTAGCATTGCCGGAGAATGCGTATTACTGATTCCCCCACGTGTACCCATTGCGCTAGTTCAATTGAAGTACTGCCCCTTGGGGCTCGCACCCTGTTATTTTGTGAGGGGAAGTCTTGATGCTCCAACTGCGTTGCTGACTCCAGAACGCGACAACAACCACGCTCCCGTTGGACATCTACAAGTTACTAAATGCCGCGCTCCCGTGCGAAACTTCCGCGCACATTACTCCAGGATCGCGCTCCCGTGTGGGCCGCGGTTGCAGTGTACTAGGAGGCTGCGCTCTCGACGTCTGCCAGTCGCGATTTCGCACGAGCCGCCCCGCCAAATTCCGCGGGACTTGTGCTCTCGCCCGAGGCTCCTGCGTAACTTCCGACATCTGGCTCGAGTCGAAACGAGGCGCAAATCCAAAACAGAAAAAAAACGGCTCCCAAAACAGACAAAAAACGTCGATCTCCCCCCCCCCCCAAAAAAAAAACGTCCCCAGCGTTTTTAAGATCATCTAAGGGCTCGACGACCTCCTGCCCGACCTGCCTCTCCGGGCCCCCGCCGCTTGGCCCCGCCCGCCCGACGCGCCCGCCGCGGGCCGACCCGCTCGCCCCGCCCGGGCCGGCTTGTCGAGAGCGTCGCTTCTCTCTGCCTCCTCCTCCTCCTCCTCCTCCTCCTCCTCCTCCTCCTCCTCCTCTCCTCCTCCTCCTCCTCCTCCTCCCTCCCTCCCTCCCTCCCTCCTCCCTCCCTCCCTCCCTCCCTCCCTCCCTCCCCTCCTCCTCCTCCTCCTCCTCCTCCTCCTCCTCCTCCCGCCCGCGTGCTTGGCAGCCCTCGGGCGCCCGCTTCGCCCGCCGGGCCCCGCCCGCCCGACGCGCCTTGCCAGGGCCGACCCTCTCGCCCCGCCCGTCAGGGCCCGCTTGTCGAGATCATCGTTCTTCTCTCGTCCCCCTCCTGCTAGATCTTATCCGCCCTCAGTGCCCCCTCTTTTCCTGTCCCCTGCTTTCCCGTTTCTGTGTTATTTCTCCGTTCTTTCTTTCTTTCTTTCTCTCTCTCTCTCTATTTTATGTGTGTCCTTGCCTCCCCCTGCTGTCCCGTTTCTGTCCCCTGCTTTCCCGTTTCTGTGTTATTTCTCGGTTCTCTCTCTCTCTCTCTCTTATGTTATTTGTGCCTTTGCCCCCCCCTCCTCTTTGTAGTGGCCCGCGCCAGTCACACGTCGCAGGCAAGGAAGATACCCCCCGAAGGGGGTCACGATAGAATGCGAAGAGGGCGGGTATCGATCGCTCGGGGAATACATGTTGGGTTCCACCCGAGCAGCGAAGGGCGGCATGATTGCCGTTATTGTCTTCGCCGCCCTCGCCCGCGACCCGCTCGAAATCCGCCCGCGACCCAGCCGCAACCCACAGCGATCCGCCGCAGACCCACCAGCGACCCACACGCGGTCCAACCGCGACCCACCCACAGCGTTTTGACGAACATCTGGCGCCTGTGGTGGGTCTCTTCCCATTTGCACCCGAACCTCGCAGAGTGCTAACGACCCCGCCACCCCCGTCACTCTTGACCGAAATTGCGGGGTCGGTGTTGATTACATCTTGGGCGGATAGAATGCTACTTGCGGGCTCCCGTGGACGTGTTGACTCCTCTGGGGTGCCTCTGGGGACTTCCGGGGGTACGCCTCGACTTCGAAGTCGGCGAGCGCGTGGCACTAGCCATACACCTCAGGCGATGCTTAAGAAAACCTAAGTTTTCGTCCAGAGTCTCGATTATTCTTGACTTTTCAATGTAAATCCCAAGATTTTGATAGAAATTCTGGGTTTTAGTCAGTTTCTGAGACTATGAATTTCTTAACCCATGATTTCTTAAGCATTTCGCAGGGTGTACACTCTTGCTTCTGGAAGTGATCGGCTCTCGGGGGCCTTGCATCAGTACGGTCGAGGCCCTGAAGAAGGAACCCTTTTCGTTGGGGAGGGGCTCCGCGTTCCTTAAGTGTTTCGCAGCTTGCCTCAGGTTTTCCTTATGTCTTCGATGGGGAATCGAAGTTTAACTTTTGGAAAAAAGGGGCTTCGTTCCTTTTTTGGGGTTCCTTAGGTCAAGGCCCCGACTGTATCTTTTAAGCGTCCCCTATCCCCATCCCCATTCCCCATTCCTGTCCAGATCGGCCAGTAGGTCCCAGGCCACGCCCATGGGGACATGGGGATAGGGGTCGGTGAAGCGATGATCATGCCTCCTCCTCCTCCTCCTCCGCCTGCTCGTCCTCCCATCCGTCTCTCCAACGACGCGCCAACCTATCCTGCCGCAATCCGGGCTGCGCACCGATCTGGTGGCAGCCCATCTCTGGGCAGAGTTCGCTTGTGGGGTCGGAAAAACGATGCTCCTTGTAGAGAGTCATCGCGCCGCCGTTCAGGACCTCCCAGCGCCACTGTGGGCGTCCTCGGGCGGGCCCCCCGGGGGGCGCTCCTGTGGGCTGCCGAGTCCCATTTATGTCATCCAGCTGCCTCTGGTAATCGAGCATAATTAAATGAATCCCTAACCCTAAGTGAACAATGAATCGGAGGAGGACAAGGTACCATACCACTACCCTTGCCTCGTTTTCCCCTTGGGGGCCTCTTTGGATTCCCTCGTCGCCACCGCTGGACTTGCCTCGAAATTCTCGTCAGAACGCCGCGCAGGAGAGGCCCAGGGAGTAGCGGTATCGGTACTTCTGGATTTCCCCAATACAGCGGTAGCCTAACTTAGGCTCCCGCCCTTGTATCAGGAGTTATCAATCTGGGCAGCCTGGTTCGATGCAGCTGCTGACACAAGACCCCTAGCCCTGATGTCTTGGGCCTTTTGACTTGGGCCCGCTCTCAGAGGGTTATGGGGCCCCTGAGTAGCCAATCCTCTGAGGGTCACCTCGGCGCCATTTGCGTGCGTCATCGGGCGCTGCAGGCGGGCCTCCTCGGCCCGAGATCCCCGAGGCGGGCGGCGCGGCCCCTGTCGACCCACCCCCGGCGGGATGGAGGCTCTCAAGGAGTCCCGCGCCGCCGCCGCGGCGCCCGCCCCCGCTGGCGCCGCTGGCTCCGCCGAGGAGTCGCCCCGAAGAGAAGGGGCCCCAGAGGAGAGGCTGCTCGGCATGTTCGGCCGTTTGGGGGCTCAGGCCCAGGGCCCGGGGGGCCGACAGGCAGCGACTCGTCGGGCGTTGCGTCACGGATGGGTTGGAGGCGACGGTGATTGATGAGGACGAGGATGAGGATGAGGATGATGACGATGTTGTTGTTGATGATGATGATGACGATGATGATGATGATGACGATGATGATGATGATGATGATGATGATGATGATGATGATGGTGGTGATGATGATGCTGATCGTGATGACGATGATACTGATGATGGTGATCGTGATGGTGATGATGATGCTGATGATGATGATGCTGATCGTGATGGTGATGATACTGATGATGGTGATGACGATGCTGATGATGAGGATGCTGATGAGGATGAGGATAGGATTATGATGATGATAACGATCTGATGATGGTGATGGTGATGGTAATGATGATGGTGTAGTCGGTGATGGTGACGACGATGATGATGGTGCTGACAATGAAGATGAGGATGGTGATGATTATGATAAGGAGGATTAGTATGATAATGCTGAGTATGATGATGATGATCATGATAATGATGATGATGATGATGACGATGCTGATGATGATGATGATGATGATGATGATGGTGATGATGATGCTGATCGTGATGACGATGATACTGATGATGGTGATCGTGATGGTGATGATGATGCTGATGATGATGATGATGCTGATCGTGATGGTGATGATACTGATGATGGTGATGACGATGCTGATGATGAGCATGCTGATGAGGATGAGGATAGGATTATGATGATGATAACGATCTGATGATGGTGATGGTGATGGTAATGATGATGGTGTAGTCGGTGATGGTGACGACGATGATGATGGTGCTGACAATGAAGATGAGGATGGTGATGATTATGATAATGAGGATTAGTATGATAATGCTGAGTATGATGATGATGATCATGATAATGATGATGATGATGATGATGATGATGATGATGATGATGATGATGATGATGACAATGAAGACGAGGATGATGAGGATGATAGGGATGACGATGGTGATGGTGATGATAAGAATGAGGATGAGGATGATGACGATGATGATTATGGTAATGGTGATTGTGATGATGATGATGAGGATGATGAGGATGATGGGGATGATGATGATGATAATGATGATGATGATGATGATGATGATGATGATGATGATGATGATGATGATGATGACGATGACGATGACGATGACGATGATGATGATGATGATGATGATGATGATGATGATGATGATGATGATGGTGATGCTGATGGTGATGCTGATGGCGATAATGAAGGTGGTGCTGCAGGTGATGGTGCTGGTGGTGCTGATGATGGTGATGACGACGATGCTGATGACGACGATGACGATCATCATCGATAGATGGGGGGGTGAAGAAGGTGCACCTTTTCTGTCCTAGAAGGACCGTGAAGAGGTCCCCTTTGGCCCAAAAGGTGCACGGAAGGTGCACGTGTCCCCCCCCACACGTTTCGCTCATTCAGTGAGCATTGCCCGAACTCGGGATGAAGAGCCGGTTGGTCCTGGGGGAATTACGATCGAGAATTTGGTCTTAGCGTGTCGCGCCGCCAGTTCTGGCCCACCACGCCTCGGCGCGTTACGGTAGCCGCTGTCCGACTCTCGATTCCTAAGACGTCAACGTTCCGAGCTTTTCCCCAGCCTCCTTCCCTGCGGAGCGGAGGCAACACGGTATCCATCTCACGGCTTGGCGTGTTGCCGAGGCCGCCGCAACACGCTGAGCAATCTCGCCTTCCGCGGAGGAGCTGCAGCGGGCGCTCGCTGGGGCGGTCGCGGAGGCTTTCCTGAGCCTCCGCCGCGCGCAGGACATCATCGACCGGGAGCTGCCCGGCGCGCTATCGGCGGCGCTCCACGCGCACGGCGCGCCCGAGCCTTACGTGAGCGGCGCAGCCAGTCCCGCAGAGCTGGTGGCCGTCCGCGCGCACGCGTGCCACGAGGTGCCCGGCGTGGTGCCTGAGCGCCGCGAGGCGCACGGCGGGTGGCGGGGCGCCCAGGGCGCAGCCGGGCCTGTGAGCAGCGGCGCCAGCACCAAACCCGTGGAACAGCAGCTCGTGTCGTGCGCCGGCACCCAGGAAGTACCCGGCCAGGTGCCCGAGTGCGGCGAAGCGCCCCGCATGCCGCCGGGCGCCGCCGTGTCGCTGGGCGCTGGCGGAAGCCTTGGGGGCGGCCCTGCCCGCAGCGACGACCACAGCCAGGCTCGGCCACGCGCAGAGAGGGGTATGGGGGGAGGGGGGAAGGCTTCTCAGAAGGGCCCCTGCTTCTTAGAGAGCGCGGGCCTTCTCTTGAGACGTAGGGCCGGGGCCTTCTAAGGAGCAGGGTGCTTCTGAGAAGCCCTCCCCCCTCCCCCTACCCCCATTTGCGCGCCGCCAACAGGCAGCAGAGGGGCCGAGGGGGGGCGCTTCGCAGAAGGTGCGCTCCCCCGAAGAAGACTCGGAGGACGAGCTCAAGGCGGAGGCGTCGCCAGATGGAGGCGAGCACCCCGCCCGTGACCGCAGGAGCAGCTTGCAGAGCGGCTCGTCGCAGAGTAGTGCTCCGTACGTGCCGCGCATATCGGAGAGCATCGCTGTGTACGGGAAAGAGCACAGCCAGGCAATCATTCAGCAGTGGAAGCATCTTGTCCAGTCCCTGCAGGAGATCAGTGTCTCCGAGATCTCCCAGCTTCACAGCGCGTGGACAGAAGCCAAGACTCTCGGCATCATCCTCTTTGCTCCGCAGAAGCCCGGATCGGCAGCGAAGCTGTTTCGCAGCACCACTGGCAGCCTTCAACTTGCAGGCAGGAAACGGCACAGTGGTTCGAGCCAGGGAGAAAAAGTCTGGAGAAGCGTCGGCCCCATTCTGAACTACGTCTGTCACCCTTTCACCAAGAAGCGAATCGCATGGGACTTCATCGGCATGTCGCTGTGTCTCCATGACGTGACGATGTTTCCCGCGGAAGCGTTCGAGTTGCCAGAGGTGTACTTGCGCTTCCGGTTTTACTACGAATTCTTGGCCTGCGTCTTCTGGACCTTCGACATACCGGTCAACTTCAGTACCGGGTACATATCCATGGAGGGCTTGCTCGAGATGCGGAAGGGCAAAGTGATCGCGCACTACGCGCGCACGTGGGCTACGCCAGATGTGGTCGTCACACTCCTCGATTGGATTTGTCTAGTCGCCAGCGTCAACAATTCTGGCATTCTTCGCCTAGGCAAGGCCGCCTCCCGATCGATGCGATCGTTGCGGCTCTTACGGCTGCCAAGGCTGAGCGCCTCGCTGAACGAGGTGGCTGGGGCTGTCAGCTCCGAGTACGCGATCATATTGGCAGGAGTTGCGAAGTTGCTCATGCTGTTGATCTTGGTGACACACTACGTGGCCTGCATGTGGTTCTGGTTGGCTGATAGGTCCGACGAGAGCAAGACTTGGAAGACTAAATTTTTGGATTCGGGCGCATATTCCCAGACGTACGAGTATCTGATCTAGTTGCCTGCGGCCAGTCCTTCACCGTGCCAGGCCAGCCACCCTGGCTACTGTTCGAGAGGCGCACGGGAGGCCGTAGCGTGTGTCACCTCGTGCCCCCAGGCCTCGTCCATGGCGTTGGCCTCGTGGATCCCCATCGTTTTATCCCTGCGCTCCTCTCGCCCCGCCTCCTCGTCGCGTCTCTTCCCTTCTCCTGCCCCATCCTCTGCGTGGCGACGTTTGGGGCAACGCCCGGATTGTCCCTGCCGTCACGGGACCATCCTGGACAGCTGTGAGGCCGTCCTGGGGCCCAGTAGGAGGGTGAAGAACATGGGGATGATGATGATGATGACGATCAGGAGGAGGATGAGGAGGAGGAGGAGGGGGAGGAGGAGGAGGAGGAGGAGGAGGAGGAGGAGGAGGAGAGGAGGACGAGGATGCGAATGGCGGAAGACGTGGATGAGGAACGTCATGACGATGAGGAGGAGGAGGAGAAAGAGAAAGGCCGTCACACGAGACACCCGTCGCCTTCCTGTCCTCCGGAGCTCCCGTGGGGCTTGCACATTTGGGCCGTCTTGGGGGCTGTTCCAGGCTCCTGAGGGGCAGTCTAAGGCGTGAGAGGAGGAGATGGAAGAGGAGGCGGAGGGAGGAGGAGGAGGAGGAGGAGGAGGAGGAGGAGGAGGAGGAGGAGGAGGAGGAGGGAGGGTCCTTGGGGCCCTCACGGGCCGTCTTGAGGCTCGCTCTGGCCGTCTTGGGGCCCTCTTGGCCGTCTGGGGGGTCGTGGGGCGTGGAGACGTCTTGGGCCGTCTAGGGGCCGTCCTTGGCCGTCCTCGGCCGTCCTCCTCCTCCTCCTTCTCCTCCTCCTCCTCCTCCTCCTCATCCTCCTCCTCCTCCTCCTCCCTCCTCCACCCTCCTCCATCTCCTCCTCCTCCACCGCCCTCGTGGGCCAGCTTGGCGCTCTCTTGTGGCCGTCTTGGGCTGTCTAGGGGCCGCCTTGGGTCTCTCGGTGGGCCGATCTTGGACCCAGGGGCGTGGAAAGCGTAAATCATAACAAGTGTTTGCCGGCGTGGACTCCAGTCCGTAAATGATTGTGATTCTGGATGTGCGAGCTATGTGGTGCAGTCTGTGTTGTACCGTATTTTTGGTATCAGGCTTGCCGTGCAGCCTATGTGGTGCTAACTGCATGTGTGTGTGCGTGTGTGTGTGTGTGTGTGTGTGTGTGTGTGTGTGTGTGTGTGCGTGTGTGTGTGCGTGTGTGTGTGGTGTGTGTGTGTGTGCGTGGGTGTGTGTGTGTGTGTGCAAGCTGTGCTCCCCAAACAGTGCTTGCACTCAGAGGTTCTTGCTTCCATGCTTTGGTACTGGGCCCGTCTGCGGGCCCAGCGGCCCTGTTTCCGTCCGTCGCCGCCCCAGGTTTTCCAATTAAAGGCCCGTCTGCGGGCCCGGCGGCCCTGGTCTAGTCCGTCGCCGCACCTAATAATTTACACCACGTAGCTCACGCCACGCACATTGCCTCACACAGCTCACACCACACAGCATTATCCCCATAGCTTGCTCCACGTTGGCTGCACCACGTAGATGCCACATAATAGGGTGCACCGCATGGCTTGGCGTGCACCACGTAGATTGCATAACTAGCTTGCTCACTCCGCATGGCTTGCACAACATAGCTTGCACCACGCATATTGCACTGCCCAGATTGCACCGCGTAGATTGCACCGCATAGCTTGCACAACATAGCTAGCACTGGCCAGCATGGTACAGTATATGGTGTGCATCTGATGTGTTGCGATATATGCTGTTCAGGCTCGGTGGTGCAATGTTGTTTGTGCAAACTAAGACGTACAACGCATGCTGTGCTGGCTATATTGTGCAATACCCGTTGCGCCTGGTATCCTGTGCAAGCTGTACGGTGCACGTCGTGTCTGGGTGCACGCTATACGGTGCAGTCTATAGATGGGGCGTTCCAAAAAGGGCCATCTCTTCCTCTGCGGAAGGAGGACGCCTCGAGGGTGAGGGGGCCGTCACGGAACAGGCTTGTCACGGAAGGGGTCGGTTGGACCGCGCCCGACGAGAGGGAGAAGGTGAGGAGGGGGAGGAGGGGGAGGAGGGGGAGGAGGAGGAGGAGGAGGAGGAGGAGGAGGATAGAAGGAGTTACCATCTCTTCCTCTGCGGAAGGCGGCGGGAGGTCGGCGGAAGGGAGGCGAGGCCGCCTCCGCTGGCGGAAGCCGGCGGAAGTTCGGCGGAAGGCCCCCTCCTCCTCCTCCTCCTCCTCCTCCTCCTCCTGCTCCTCCTCCTCCTCCTCCTCCTCCTCCTCCTCTCCTCCTCCTCCTCCTCCTCCCTCCTCCCCCTCCTCCTCCAAAAAGGGTGCAGGGGTTTCAAATCGCCCATACATGTAAGAATGCGTGGTGCAAGCTTTGCGGTGCAGCATGTTTGGTGCAAGGTGTGTCGTTCAAGTTATGCGGCGCAGGCGATGGTGTACAGGCCCTGGCTATGAGTCGCACTGCATGTTGGTGCAAGCTCTAGCACGAGCTATATTACAGGGCATGCGCTGTTGGCGGTACACTTGGTGCTAGCTGCAGTGGCGCAAGCAAGTGTGACTCTCTGGCAGCCCTTAACTTCAATGTTTGGGCGCAAATCGGACCCACCCGCCCATCCGCAACTTTGTGGCAAAACTCGGCTGGCACGAAGCCGTGACGATTGCTTGCATGCAGATACCACGTCAGCGATGAACACAACAATGATGATGTTGATAGTGACAGCGACGACAACGGCGATGATGGCAACGACTGGGGTGGTGAACTATAGTAGCTGTGATGAAGGTCGTTGTCATGGCAATGATGCCGGTGATCATGATGATAATGGCAATGGCGACGCTGGCGATGATCATGACGATGGTGCTGATGAGGGAGGGTGTCGAGGAAACGTGCACAGAAAACCTGATGTAGCCTTCTCGACAAACAGTGCCTGCGTGATCTTACGTCGCTTCCCCAGGAGACTGGACGGGTGCCGAGGTTTCCCCGACTCGATGATGGGCGGCCGACCGCGAGAGCCTCGTGGGCGCCTCGTGCGCTGAATGGGTGTGCCGAGGTTTCGCTTAGTGCCATCCCGTGGCCACTCTGTGGGCGCGTCGTGCGCCGGGTGCGTGTGCCGAGTTTTCGCCGGATGACCTCCCACGGCCGCACCTAGGCGTCTCGTGGACGCATCGTGCGCTCGGTGGGTGTGCCGATGTTTCGCATTTTGCCCGCCCGTGGGCGTCTCGTGGGCGCCTCGCGCGCTGGGTGGGTGTGCCAAGGTTTCGCCTGCTGCCTGGGCCGCGGCTCCCGAGGGGGCCCAGGCAGCAGGCGAAAGGTTGGCACCACAACGAAGCTTGCATCTCACAGGTTCCACCACGAAGGTTGCACCACAAACGTTGAACCACCTGGCTTGCGTCGAGTAGCTTACACCTCCCAACGCGCGCCACAGAAGCTCCACCACCTAGCTTCCACCACGCAGCTTCCATCTGTAGCTTGCACCGCATAGCTGGTGCAACCTCGCTTACCGCATTTTCCAACACCACACATGTCGCCGCGCCGTTTGTTCCCACGCGCGGCCTTGCATCTTGGGGAGGGCGCCGTGGCCACCAGGGCAAACGCCGCCTCGGGCGCGGTGGGATTGCTGTGGGGTTCACCGCGTTGCCAGCGCTTTATGCTTGGGGCGCGGGGCGCAGAGTCTGCTGTGGGTCTGCCGCGTTGTCTGCGTCGTCCAATTTGGCGCGTCGAGAACAAACGGCGCGGCGACATATGCTTTACGACACACCTTGCTCACCGACCATTCAATCCATTAGGTTTCGGGGCCCACGCTTGCAAACATGTTGAAGTAGCCCCTGATGCGTCACATGTGATTTGACGTTTGCACCTGTTTGAGTGGATGGAAGGCACATGTTTTTCAATTGTTTCGACATGCGCGCGGCTCGCCCGCATTGCATCATGTGGCACAGTAGGCGGGTGCGCGAAGACTGCTGGGTGATTTCGGCATGCGAGCACGTGTGGCCCGAAAGGTATCACTCGACAGAATGACACCCCATTTGCCCAAACAGTGCTTGCACCCAGGGGTTCTGGCCTAGGCTGCGTGAAGAACTGGGTGGATATCTCGGGTTTTCGCCACGCTGTTGGCCCGTGCCGTCTTGTGGGCGTCCCGCGGGCGCCCCACTGCCGAAGTTGCGGCACGCTGCCGCCGGTGCGGTGCCGCCTCGTGGGCGCCTCGTGGGCGCCACTTGCGTCGGACGACGACGACGACGCCGACGGCGACGACGACGACGACGACGACGACGACGACGACGACGACGACGTCGAATCCGACAACGACGCCGACGACTCCGACGGCGACGGCGACGACGACGACGACGACGACGACGCCACGCTGCCACCCGTGACGCCTCGTGGGCGTCATGTGCGCGGGGTGGGTTTTCCCGAGGTTGCCCCGCCGTGCCGCCCGTGGCGCCTCGTGGGCGAACCGCACGCTGAGCGGCTGCCCCCAAGGCTGCGCCACGTTGCCGTCTCGTCGGCGCCTCGAGCTCCTCCTCCTCCTCCTCCTCCTCCTCCTCCTCCTCCTCCTCCTCCTCCTCCTCCTCCTCCTCCTCCCCCCCTCCTCCTCTTCCTCCTCCTCCCCCCCCTCCTCGTCCTCCTCCTCCTCCTCCTCCTCCTCCTCCTCCGTAGCCATTTTGGCTCAAGAGCTGCCCCTCGGCCGCGCGGGTGAGCTTATACCACACAGCTCACGCCACATAGCTCGCGACACGTTGGCTTTCACCACCCACCAAACCACCCCAACCCAACCCGAAGGCCTCAATTTGCCATCCATTTCCAGTTGGGGGGGGTCGGGGAACATCGAAAAAACACGTATGGAGCCCGTACCCCCCCCAACCCGAAATTGGGGTCTTCGGGTTGGGTTGGGGTGGTCTGGTAGGTAGTCAGGCTTACACCGCATGGCTTGCACAGCGTAGCCGACATAGCAAAGTCTGTGTCCCCGTTAGGTTCACTTC